AACGAATCTCATGGTTTGGATTAGAAAACTAGGGACAGGAGGTTTATCCATGAGTGGTTAGGGTATAGTATCATGCCCAAAATTCCGATTAATTCATGATCTAAATAGCAAAACTCAAACGAGCGTACGGTAGTCTAACGTACGTCTAGGCGTATGCTAGTCTGAACCTTATATATATACACACACACACACAAGAATATCATTCTACCATCAAACTTTATTAAAGAAGCATATAATGATAAGAGACCCAACAATAATGACTCAACTTGTAAACCCCACCGAATTACATTGAAGCTTAATGTTATTGATTGTTGTCGAGCAACTGTGCGGAAGTCTGACTTTCTACTGTTCTTCTTCTAAAACTCTTCCTTTAAATTATTCTCATTTGAGTCTTAGTCACTATTACAACTAGGATAGACAAGAGGTCTTGTAAGCCTTCAAATACCCCATTATTTTTTGCATATGTTTGCGGCTCATGAAGGTCTATTATTTTCGGCTATAACTATGAGGATGGTCGTAATCAGTTAGTCAGTTAACTGTTTAACTGCCGATTATTAAATATTTAACCATAGGCTATTTATTAGCTAAATTTGACTACAGGGAACCGACCGTTTACTATTTAATCGGTTATCAGTTACATCATTAAGCACCGGTTCCGGTTTGATTATAGATTACACCGTTAACGCGATAACCGTTTACCTGCCATATACATGACTATTGAATTTTATTTCACCTCCCTATGTGAAACCAACATGTCTTGAAGGAGATTAATGGAAGACTGACACAACTTCTTAGCTAGAGTTATTAGTTTCTTATAGCATTTTCAGTTTTAACTAAAATCAACTTCATGAAGCTATTAAGCACATTGTTATAAGAACAGAACCAGATTAACGGCTGGGCCAGTAGAACCGTAAAATCAGTTATGATAGCGGTTCGGTTTAGTGCTTGGACGGTTATTGATGGATCAAAAGGTTTTTCACGGTTCAACATAAAACCAGATGAACCACCACGATTTAACTAGTCCACTGGTTCACTATTTTAACCACAAATGTTTTTAGGAAAAATACTTTTAACATAATTTTTAACTTGAATTAAAAAATTTATGATTTCTTTGGTGAGACGGTTCGAATGATTTATTAGATATTTTGTGATGATATGAATTTGAAATTGTTTATGGTCAATGATAACATCATTTTTAAATTATTGTAATACACATGTCTTATATGTTATATATCATGAACGGTTCTATCCACGATTTACCAACGATTTTTGTAACGGTTAACTAAACTACTAACTTTTTCTGTTCCGGTTACGCTTCGGATACAGTTCTAAAAACAGAGATTAAGCATGTTAGTACCGGGGAAAAAAACATATACTTTTTATCAATATAGTTTTATTTAAAATCGGAAAATCAAACCCAAATGGACACTTCGACTTTAGGTCGAACTGTAAGAACACTTTACTCTTTAACCAAATAATATCGAAAATATGCTCAAAGTATTGCTCATTTTGAAATAAATAAATTAAAAAAGGTAAAGGATTAAGCTAGTTTATATATAAGTAAAATGATGGGTATAAGGTTAAGCATAAATGTAGAACGGAAAAAGTATTGTTATAAGAACCAAATCGGATCAACGGCCGGATCAGTAGAACCATCAAATCAGTTACGATAGCGATTCGGTTCATTGCTTGAACGGTTATTTATGGACCAAACGATTTTTCACAGTTCAACATAAAATCAGATGAACTACCACGGTTTAACTGGTCCACTGGTTCACTATTTTAACAAAAAAGGTGTAAAAAATACTTTAATATAAACTAAGACCATCAAACCATAATTATTAATGTTATATATACTCAGCGGCGGATCCAGAACACAGAAGTGCACTGGGCCGTATTTTATTAGAAAATTAAAATAGTAAAAAAATATAATGATTATAATTTTTTTACAATGTAAATTGTACACGACGGTATTTTAATTTAGCGAATGCATTAATAATGGAGTCCACATCCATACCAATAGTATACACTGTTTCAAATAAAATACTTGAGCAATCGACAGAAATCCATCGCTAATTTTGTTGCGCAAATCAATTTTCACATGTTTCGTTGTTGAAAAGGTTCTATTCGTATTAGCTGTTGAAACGAGGCGCATCAACACTAGACAAATCAATCTACTAATCAATTTGCATTTGTGTTTCCATCCCTATATCCACCAGCTGCGCTAGTAAATTTTCCAAGGTAACAAACCTCATATATATTTTAGTCTTTTACGTTTTAAACTTTTTGAATTTTTAGGTTTCATTTTTTTTTTAGACGAATTACCTTTGGGGTTAGAATTTATAAGCTAAATTTAGAGTAGTGATTTTGAATATGTTCATCTGAATTATTTTTCTAATTATACCCAATCTTATTTTAAAATAACAACGACCCGAATATCTAAAATCGAAAAATTCATAAGACCTATATTAACTATGGATCCAGAGGAGGGCTGGGCCGGGGCCCGGGGTGGCCACCCCCTGGATCCGCCACTGTATATACTTCATCTTCTCATTCCCACCTTGTTTTTGACTTTACGTTGTCCACTACCGGCTGACACCATAATTTTTAATTTGTATAAAAAAATATGATTTCTTTTGTGAGATGATTTGAATGATTTATTAGATCTTTTGGTGATGATATGAATTTGAAATTTTTATGGTCAACGATAATTTCATTCTTAAATGAGTGTAATATACAAATCTTATATGTTATATATCATGAACGGTTTTGTAACGGTTAACCACTAGACCCTAAACCACTAACTTTTTCGATTCAGCCTACGGTCCGGTTCTGAAAACAGAGGGAAAAAGTAAGTTTATAGGGATCATTGGTGCTATAGGGTTTTGCCTTTATGGTACAACTTAAAATTGTCCATTTACATTATGGTACAACTTCAGATTGTACCTATACTTTTTGTACAAATTCTTTTATGGTACAACTTGAACTTGTACCTTTATGTGATGGTACAACTTCAAGTTGTAAAGTTGTACCATAACATAATGGTACAAATTGCTTTATGGTACAAACTAAACTTATACATTTAATGTTATGGTACAACTTTAAGTTGTACATTAAAACACCAATAATATAGCATGGTAGAAGTGCTAATAAACACAATAAAACTTTAAATGGCTATGAAATTTTAGGATACATAAACATAAGCAAATTGGAAAAACTCTTGAACTAGAGTAAAGTCCAACTCACAACAAGAAGTTAATAAACATAGAAAACACGCGTTGAATTATGCACTCACCAGTATGAACCATGACTCATAATCAGCATGAACTATCTAAATTCTCGACATCACGGTGCCTAAAAATTCTTGATCATAAATTTAAGACTGCACATGGGCATCAATATCTGCATCCATGTCTCATCATCTTCATCACCACCATCGCCATAGATGTGTTGAGAAATCAGAATACGGTGAAAATTGTTGTGTTTTATTACTGAAACCATATAGGTTTATATAGAGTACAGAGACTGACTTCTATAATAACCCTAACACTAATATGGAAACTACTTAACTTGTAAAACTCTGATAAGGAATATAACTCTACCCAATTACATAACAATAGATGTGTTGAGAAATCAGAATACGGTGAAAATTGTTGTGTTTTATTACTGAAACCATATAGGTTTATATAGAGTACAGAGACTGACTTCTATAATAACCCTAACACTAATATGGAAACTACTTAACTTGTACAACTCTGATAAGGAATATAACTCTACCCAATTACATAACAGTACTTGTAGTATAACACAATACTACTCGTACTACACTATACTCTAATACCCTCCCCCAAATTGATGGTAATTACTTACCAACAATTTGAAAACTGAAACAAAAACGACACAAATTACTACGAACAATGTGACCTAAAAAAACAATGAAAAACATAAATGCTCCGCCAAATATGCCGATGTCGATGAAGACCATATCCAATGCCTCGTGAAACGTCGATGGTGATAAGCTGGAGATAACAAAAGGTCTTGCCAAAGTCGTCTAGTCCGTCGAACTAACAGAACCACGTGCTCCGAACAACATCATGGCGATCAGGATGCTCCGAATAGCATCGTCGAAACAGAAACAGAACCACGTGCTTCGAATAGCAACATGGTGATCAGGATGCTCCAAATAGCATCATCGAAATAGAAACGAAACCAAAAATGCTCCGAACAGCATTTATCCAATTGAGATATTCCGAACAATATCTCAAACTAAGGTATTCCGAACAACACCTCCAAAACGAAACCAAAGGGACGAAACCTATGGTTGTACCAAGCCCAAAAGAGACTTGAACGACACCAACTAAAAAAATCTTGTAACCTTGCCGAATCACTTGGTTAACGGTTATATGGTTAACTAAAAAAATAACCGAGAACCGACAATATGGTTACGGTTAACCGACTAATTTAAATAATGTGGTTAACGGTAAGCACAAAGTGCTTAACGGTTAATAGAAAACCGACTAATCGGTTTCGGTTATAACCGACCCGATTATCCGCCCTAGTCATGTATAATCTTTTGATCCATTGTAGTTGTGGAACAATCTCAATATGAAATATGATTAACTCTAGGATCTTATAGACATCATTGATCACATACCGATTCTCGATGTTGCAGTTGCATTTGCAGCAAGCAGTATCACAGCGATGGCTGCATTCTACAGAAAAAATTGAACCAAGTAGTCCCTTATTACAAAAAAAACAGACAATTTTGACGAAAACTTACTGACAACACAGGTTTTGCATTAGAAAAATGACGAAATTTGAGCGTAGTCAGTAAGTCCATCCTTTTTACTGGCAACATAAAATGGTCGTCCGTAATTGTATAATTTTCCGTTAGGAATAGGCCTTTCAGGGAGGGTGCAATTTTGAATAGACATTTTTTATGACGGATATATTTATTATGTCAGTAATGTTTAGTGTTACTGACGAATACCAATTCGGCGTTGAAAAAAGAGAGTGTATTATTGACGGTGAGCACCTCGTAAAATAAAATATTTGTGACGAATAGATAGTGTCATCGATAACTTTGTCAGTAAAGATCATATTATGGACGAGCCACCAAGTCGTCGGAAATAATAGATATTACCAATGACAATTGTAAAAAAAAGGCTTTGTAACGTAGGACATGGCTTATAAATGTTAGCTGTTTGTGATGACATTAATTGTGACAACAATCCAAGGATCGGTTAGCATGACTACCCCCAAAGGGGTCTAATTTTTGACACCCCCTTTCTCATTGGTCAGTTTTTTTCTCAATCATTTGACAATTATTAATTACAGTTGTTTTTTGTATTTTTTTCATAATCTTGTAATTTGGGAAAGTTCTCAATAATAATTAAAAACTAATTGGGAAGGAGCAATCTTGTTGGATGGGGAAAGCGTCGATTGCTCTTCCAAGTCCAATATTCTCCGTATTTTCTCCAAATAGCAATCCGACTCTCTACTCTGCAAAACTCGACGGCGATCGGAAACATCGGGCAGCGTCGCAGTGGGATTGCCTCCGACCCGCCTGGTGGGTTGCTCGTCGGAGGAGGAAGACGCGCAGGGGATATCCCCGCCGCCCTTACAACAGGTCCAACCATCCATGTCGTCGGCCGTCTGCCGTCCTCCGTCTTCCATCCCAAACATCACCTTCCAACGACTTCCTCTTATCCACGGCATGCGCTTGATCTTTTCCTGTTGACCACCGTCCTTCCACGGTAGAGATTCGATCAACCCTAAGTGGCGGCGACAGAATCTGAAGGTGAGGGTGGTACCACTAGGCGGCAGAGGAAATGCACCAATGGACTGGTACATGTACCAGTGGAGTGGTACGTGTACCAGTGGAGTGATACTAGTGGAGTGGTACGTGTACCAGTGGAGTGGTACATGTACCAATGGAGTGATACGTGTACCAGTGGAGTGAAAGTGGAGAGTTTGAACAGTGGTGAACAGTGGTGAAAGCGGCCACAGAATCTGAAGGTGAGGGTGGTACCACTAGGCGGCAAAGGAAACGCACCAATAGACTGGTACATGTACCAGTGGAGTGGTACGTGTACCAGTGGAGTGGTACGTGTACCAGTGGAGTGGTACTAGTAACCATATGTCCTGTTTAGGCTTTAAAAAAATTGTGAAGACTTTATGTTTATTCACATTCGAAGGATAATTTATTGCTTTTGGCATTGTTGTTGGCATTTCCCTGATTTTGCAACCCATTTTGGAACACAACTTTTGGCTACTAATGGAAAGTTCCTATTTTGTTGGCTGATTTAAATGTTTATTGTGTTGCTGGTGCCAGAATTATATTTCATGATCAAGTAAGTATGAGTATTGGTATATTGAGGACAGTCTTAATTAATATCAGTTCAGTGGTATAAGTACTAGTTAATTGATATGTATACCAGTCTAGTGGTATAATACAAGTTCAGTGGTATATATGTACCACTGAAGTAGTATGATTACAGTTGAAGTTGTGCGAAGACCATTTCTATTCATTACTCGTCGGCAAAGATATTTCAATGACATTAAAAGAAGTTAACCAATAATTACGACAAAAGAAAAATAATAAAATCAATTCCAAACTTCAAAAGTGGTGGAGACCACAATATTTTCATGACGATGTATTCCAAACTCCACTGGTACACGTACCACTCCACTGGTACACGTACCACTCCACTGGTACACGTACCACTCCACTGGTACATGTACCAGTCCATTGGTGTGTTTCCTCTGCCGCCTAGTGGTACCACCCTCACCTTCAGATTCTGTCGCCGCCACTTAGGGTTGATCGAATCTCTACCGTGGAAGGACGGTGGTCAACAGGAAAAGATCAAGCGCAGGCCGTGGATAAGAGGAAGTTGTTGGAAGGTGATGTTTGGGATGGAAGACGGAGGACGGCCGACGGCCGACGACATGGATGGTTGGACTTGTTGTAAGGGCGGCGAAGATATCCGCCAGCCGTGTAGTGATGAACTAGAGCTATGGTTCTCCACGACAATGGAAAGAAACAAGGGGAAATAGCAGAGGAGGGAGGGGGGAAATAGAAACAAAGGGAAAGGGAGTAGAAACGCCACAATTTCCATCCAGGGATCCAGCTAAATTGCCCCCTTCTCGTGCATAATTAATATGACAGTTAATCCTTTCTCCATCCATATTTATTTGGGACAGTCATTAATACTTGTCTAATAATTAAGTATAAAATTGACCAATTAAAAGGAGGGTGTCGAAAATCACTACCCCTTTAGGGGTTAGTATAGTATCTGGACCCAACAATCCATCCTCAGTTGAGGATATGGAACGCTTCAGCCATCATTCAAGTGACTAAGTATATTGAAGATAATAATAAATAATGCTTCATAAAAATATATATGATTAATTAATTACATTATATGAAACTTATCCATTTGAGTATAAATTATTTATAGTATCCAACATAAACGAAAGATGGTGTGTGTATATATAATTACTAGTGTTGTATCCGGCCCGTTGGCCGGTTTGTGGTCATTTGTGTATTTTTTTTTATTTAAACGTAGGTGGTTCGATTTTTAGTATTGTGCACTCGTGGTACAAAATAGTAGTTTGATAGTTTATATTTTTAGTGCCCGTTAACTTTATAATTTTATTGAATTTGTATTTCATTTTATACTTAAATATAAGAAGTTTAAGTTAGACAACGAATGGAATGAAAAACTATCTGGAATCTATATTCATGCCTTGAGATATTAAACATCACTGAATCAACAAAAAAAATCAACAAATTTTTTTATCTTCGTTATATGTGAATAATTACCTTGCAAATGAAGCTTTGAAAATTTTATTACTATTTTAATTTAAATATAGTTGATTGTAATCTATTGAATTAAAAAGTAAACAATGTACATAATATTATTATAGATGTATTACATTTAAATAGTTTAAAGATACAAAAATTCGAGGAGAAAAAAATGTGATATGGAAATAGAGTATTTGGACAATTATGTAAAGCAAATCCAAAAATATTAGTATAGATGTATTAATTTTATATTTTTGAAAGAGACAACAATGAAAAATATCAGCAAAAGAATATTTTGACTTGAAATAGTCCTTTTAAGCTATTCAATCATTTGAACTTTAGTTATCATAATTCAAACTTAACATTTAACAATATGCTCATATTTTAAATATTCTATTGACTATGTCCTATATTTTCAAAAGCGGAGCGGTTGTCGGATTAAAAATTTCAATGACTCATGATTAATGGTTTATCATTATACAACTATTTTTTAATCATTAATGGAACTATTCAGATGTAAATAACAACTTAGTTAGGTTGAAGAAGCATTTAAGTTATTCCATTGGACCATATTTTACGTTTAATAATTTTCTAATAAAAACTATCTCGACTTTAAGCAATTACATAGAATAAAAAATTGATTTTTTTTGTTTGATCTAATTCGACACAAATATCAAGCCGGTACGATATGGATCGAATTGTTGTTTAACTTACGACTAAACATGCGATCTTACCTTTCAAAATTTAATGTAAAAATTAGACATGCTAATTTGAAAATTAAAAGAATTTAAAACAATATAAAATGATTGTATTTTTCCAAGATTTCCCGTCTTTCTTCCTCTTCATGTTCTCCGAAATCACTGTGAAATTAACATTCTAAAACTTTTGAAGGTTGATGCTTGGTTTATCTGTTTAACGTAAAACCCTAATGCGAAAAAACCTATTCCGAATGAATCTCTTCCCAATCATCCACGCCACAACGATATATCATCTTTATCATTCAAAATCCAATTCGCAAACATGATCTCTGTTGGGGGTGTGACTAAATACTCCACGCGCGGACTAAATAAGGGCGCGCTCAATCGGTAACGTGCTCCGGACGAACGCCACTACGAAGTATTTAAAAGCATGAAACTCCCCATTGAAGAGGACTTCTCCTCTCTCCTCACTTTCCACTTTCTGCTATCTCTCTACACTTTATCTCTCTACCTATTCTCTCAACTCTCTCCACAAACATACACTAACTTGATCGTCGGAGCTTAATCCGAGGGGCAACCCCGGTACTTTTCACAGGTTTCTTCCCTCCCGACGGGATCAGACGAACAGATCATGAGTCAACCCCACACCAACAAATATCATTGTTCATACCGGAGCTAGATGGTTCAAACAATTGGCGCCCACCGTGGGGTAGATTTGGATACTTGTTCGTCTGATTTCGAAAGGAGAAAAAGCCGCCTCTTCCTCCATCACTACAAGCGACGGCAACAACAAAACAGAATCAATGGTGTTAGCAAAAAAAGAAGAAAGCCAGACCACGTTTTATCCTCCTTTCGTCCACCTCTTCGGGAGCTCGCACAAGAAGAACCCCTTCCGATTAAGGAGAAACGAGCTGCCAACAGTCCGAACAAAAAAAAAAAGAACGGTGAAAATTCCGACCGCCAGAGAGAGACGCGGCGCCGGACCCTAAACGAGGAAGGAAGAAGAGTCGCTCCACAATCAACATCATCACTTCCTCTCCAGCCTCCCCAACAGTAATAAAAAAAATAAAAAGATGAAGAAGCAGCCTACTCCGCTACAGTATACGGCCACAGATCAGATCGAGGGGACAGCTATCTCTGGGCCACCTTCCCTCCCTGTCAGAAGGAAAGGACTGGTGAGGTTCCCAAGACGACAGGCTGGAAGCACATTAAAAAAAAAAAAAAGAAGAAGCAAAAGGTAGCGCCAAGAGTGTTGGCAACAACAGCCCCGGGCCGGACCCGCTCAGCTTCTAGGCCCATGCCTCCTCCGCGTCACTCTACCCACCCAAGCTCGTTCACACGCTACAGCCCCGCCGCCAAGCCCAGCAGGCGCGGAGATCAACTCGGAAACTTAAAAACAAATAAAAAGGGGTTGTGAAGAACGCATTCGCGGTGGGTTGAACCCGCGCCAGTTCTCTACATTATGCACGCTCACCAGTAGACCATGCAACTACATTGTGACACTGAGGCGCAACACTCTTATTTAATCCTCTCCAGCCCACCACAAGCGCGGGACCAAACTTACACATGGGGCCCAACTCGCGGACCACCAGCCCATGTCGCGGCCCGCACTCGCGCCTGTCCCGATCTGCGCTTCACACAAAGCCACCAGCCCGCGCGGCCCGCACTCGCGCCTGTCCCGATCTGCGCTTCACACAAAGCCACCAGCCCATTACCGCGCCCCTGGCCCACGCCAGCAACTTCACGGCCCGCATCACAAGCGCGGCCCACATGCTCCAAACCGACCCGCGTCAAGCCCGCTCACATCCTCAACTAGCGGCACAAGTCCGCCTCAACACCACTCTTGCATCACGGCCCGCTTAACCCGCGATCACCCAGCCCAAGTTGCGATCGCAACACCCAAGCCCGCGCCACACCTTTAAAAAATTGTAGTCGCCGCGAAGACTCGAACCCGCGCCACTCCTCCCCTAGACAAGCAACGTCACCAGCAGGCTACATGCACGCTTGGTGATCATGGGGGGCAGTACTCTTATATCAACAAACCCGCGCCATCAACAACTCGCGTAAAAAAAAATTGTTGTAATCGCGAGGACTCGAACCCGCGCCATTACTCCGCCCCACAAGCGCTACTACCAGTAGGCTACATAATAGCCTTCTGCTCCAAGGGCGCAGCGTCTGCATTTTAACAACTCTTCGCGCCATTTCGCCAATAGAAAGCTAAGTACTCTATCCCTTTATCACTATCAAATATTGAAGTATTTTATTCTCATGAGCGTTAATGGCGCTGAGGGAGAGGGCACATTGCCTCGAAGACTCCAAACTGAGGGTTAAAAACCCCGACGAGGAGGGCTCCAAACTGAGGGTTAAAAACCCCGACGAGGAGCCACAAATAAGTCTCAATGAAGCACACAAATAAGACTTCAATAAAAGCATCGAAGACTCCAAACTGAGGGTTAAAAACCCCGACGAGGAGGGCTCCAAACTGAGAGTTAAAAACCCCGACGAGGAGCCACAAATAAGTCTCAACGAAGCACACAAATAAGACTTCAATAAGAGCATCGACGACTCCAAACTGAGGGTTAAAAACCCCGACGAGGAGGGCTCCAAACTGAGGGTTAAAAACCCCGACGAGGAGCCACAAATAAGTCTCAACGAAGCACATAAATAAGACTTCAATAAGAGCATCGAAGACTCCAAACTGAGGGTTAAAAACCCCGACGAGGAGAACTCCAAACTGAGGGTTAAAAAAAAAACCGATGAGGAGAGCTCCATGAAGAATCTACAATGAGTGAAGGCTACACGCCTTAATGAAATACACCAACTGGGGGGCAAGACGCAAGAAGCTGGCACCGCGTCAGTCAAACGGGCCACCAGCTGGGGGGCAACTGGGGTACATAGGGCTCCACCCAAAATTACCGACGAAGATTTAAAAAAAAAAGAGTAATAAGCTAGCGATGAGTTAAGACTCACCACCAGCTTTGGGGGCGTGACTAAATACTCCACGCGCGGACTAAATAAGGGCGCGCTCAATCGGTAACGTGCTCCGGACGAACGCCACTACGAAGTATTTAAAGGCATGAAACTCCCCATTGAAGAGGACTTCTCCTCTCTCCTCACTTTCCACTTTCTGCTATCTCTCTACACTTTATCTCTCTACCTATTCTCTCAACTCTCTCCACAAACATACACTAACTTGATCGTCGGAGCTTAATCCGGGGGGCAACCCCGACACTTTTCACAGGTTTCTTCCCTCCCGACGGGATCAGACGAACAGATCATGAGTCAACCCCACACCAACAAATATCATTGTTCATACCGGAGCTAGATGGTTCAAACAATCTCATTTAGGAGTTAAACAATTTTAGATAGCCTCTGTTTTTTCCTTAACCACACAAAATAAATCTACACAGAGCAAAATTCAAATAATTATTATGTAGCATTTACCTTAAAACAAATCTTCTTTTTCCTCAATCGTAATCGCATTTACTAAAAAGAAAACCAAAAGTCCAATAATAATGAGTGACCCTTGAGTGTTTAAAAAATTGTTAAAGTTGTCCTTCCACCAAATAAGGAGAACCAATCAAAGTGCAAGGTGGCAACAATGACATAGAGTGAAGTGCATAATATATTGTGTAGATATATATGGGGTAATAATGGTCAATCAATATTTTCTATTAAATGAACTTCGGCTTTGAGTTTAAAGAATCGGAGCCTGTGGTTTATCTATTAGAGAT